CCCGAGGGTTCGGATCCCACATACGGACCGGTTCCCGCTCACTGGCTGAGCGAGGCGCGGGAGCAATGCCGAGGGTTGTAATCCCGTTGCCGGTCCCCGGTCCGGTATGGGGGCAACACTGAGGGTTGTGCTCCGTTGCCGGACACGGAAAAAGTCAAAAGACAAAAAAAAAAAAAAAAAAAAAAAAAAAAAATTTATAGTATCTAAAAAGGAGAAGGAGGAAAATGAAGAGATGGAGGAGGAGGAGATGAAGAAGAAAAAAAGAAAAAGAAATATTGACTAGCAGTAAACTTCAGATTAAAAAAAGAAAGTCTAGACAAAAAAGCATGAAAGAGTTCACATAAGAAAAGAATCAATAAATATTAGTATATCAAATTCAAATGTTTATAAATTATAAATACCACAAGCAAATATTGAGATTATTAACACAGAGAAATTATTTGCTTCAAATAGTTGCAACATTTTAATATTTTATCTCTATAAATAGTGGTACAAATGAAGGAGAAAAAACCAGCAAGACTGAAAGGACAAATAAACGGACAGTTCCATGGAAGTAAAAATGGCCAATAAACATATGTAATATCAGTACATCTCACTATTACTCAACAATATAAAAAATAAAACAACAGTGTCTTCATTAATATGTTTTAAAATGTTTATTGAGTGTTTATTATGTAAGTTGCAGTTCTATATACCATAACATGTAACATGGTTGATTCCTTCAGGAATGGAAAGAATCCAAATCATATTTTAGGTCAAAGTAGATTTTAATCTTTTCTATACAATTTTTTATAATTCATTGTTAGTTATTCTACAAAATATGTATATGCCTGTGTGTATGTGTGTGCACTTCTGTGTGTGTGTATTCCTTCTTGTTCAATTTTTTTCCATTCCTGAAATGTTATCTACATAAAACTTTATTGCTTCAAATATAAATTAATGCAATTATTTTGCTTCTAGTCTCTATCCTTCTAAACTAATCTATATGTGTCTGCTAGGTCAGAAATTTATCATTTCCCTTTTCTGCCACCAAATTTTAAATGCTTCAGACACTCTTCATAGGATCAGAAATAATATCTTACATCAAGTAGACGGCATTCATCAAAGAAGACTCTTTTATACATTTAAACATTTAATTTTTTTTTTTTTTTTGGGGGCTGGCCAGGGGGGGGATCCAAACCCTTGACCTTGGTGGGATCATTACCA